CTCTGACTGACGTTTAATGTAATAAAAATCTACAATAAATGTCACACCCAATTTAACAAAATACAACATTTCTTTATAAATATTTAAATACAAAACACCATTTGCAAATCATATGGTTTCTTACCGTGTCACAATTGGTTAATTTCGAATAGTCTTTCAATATACACTCCCAAAAGCCCGCAACATCATCAACACTTGGCTTGTGTTCTAGCACCATTGTTTGCATTTCATCGACAATCATTATTAATTGCCATCCATAACATTACTTTTCAACATTTATTAATTTAACTCACCGCAAAATTGTATGGAAGGTAGGCAATCTTCCACTTCCCCGATATCTTCTTCGAATCGTTAACCAGCACCCAACCGACCAAATCAATAACCTAACAAAATTAATTACAAAATTATAACATATTCACTAGGTTTTAACAATTTATACTTTATACTTACCGGATCGCTAACCCATGCCATAGGTTTTAACGTTGCAACGTCGGATACTGTGGCGAATTGGTTTCCCATCTGGATTACAATTTCACTATATAATAAATTTGGTTTAATGTTTTTGTCATGAAATATTTAAATATCACTCACAAAGTAATATATATTACTTACCTCAATGGTAACCCAATATTCTATACATATTCACATAATCCACTTTCAAATGCACCAATTTCTTTTAATATTTTACTTTTTCAACCTACAATTTTGATTACAAATATTAGTCCAAACATAATAATAAAAATCAAATTCAATTTTGTTTTATTCATTTTATCTTATGCTTCTTCTTCTTAGGTGCAGGACATTCTGAATCCAGGTCAGCATCGATTACATTCTTCAATGTCCGCATAACATTAACATCCTTCCTCGCACTGCATCCAACTTTTCTTCTTCATCTTTTTTTAAAATTCATCATATTTGTTATCCTCATAACTCTTCATATATTTTATTTCAACCCTTATTTTTTCCCTTCATCAATTTTTTCAACCTCTCCCATCACCCCCTTAAATTCACCCCTCAATTCCACCACTTTTTTCACCACCCCCACTTCCCCCCTTAAGGCTCTCAATCGCCTCTCCGATTCTGGATTGTCTTTTACAAACAATCACAAATGGATTTTTTAGCTCCGCCAACTCAGACATCAAAATATCAAGTTTACTTGCACTCCTCTGACCATAATCCCCCTACTACCTTCTATTCTACCTCTTCCTCCTTGTTAATAACTTTCAAAATTAAATTACAATATTAATACATTTTTTATATTCTAAATATTATATAATTACTTTTATTACCCTTTCTTGCTTGCCAGATATTTCCAACTTCAATTTTTCCATCACTCGAACTACTTCTTCCTTTCCCCATGCACGGATGTATGCCACTCTGGTTCTTTGAAATGCTGGCACACTTACACAATCAGACCAAAAATCAAATAATACAACCTAAATTTATAATTAAATTTATCATTTTCTATAATAACTATACTTAAAAGTTTTATAACCCAACACATCCTTCAACTCATTTATCTCTAATATTGCTATACACCCTTTGAGGTAAGTCTGGCTTTGGCCCTTCAGAAAGCTAATTATTGATTTAATTAATTTGTCATGGACATATTTAGCCCAATTCAATTCACCTTTCAACCCTTCGTCGCAAATCAACTTGATATTATCTTTGCTTGGGGATGTATCACCCGTTGGAAAAAGAAAGATTTCGGCAAGGTACAATAGTATCAGGGCCTTTATGTTATCCCCGTCATAAGCTCCGCTTTTAATTTCCTCCTCAAGTCAAGCATATGTCACCTTGGGCTTTAAATCATATTTCTTGGCAAGTTCTTTCCAGTTCTTCGTCTTAATAACTTCTTCAACACTATTGCCTTTATCTTATAGCCCCAATACGATTACAACACATGGGACCCCTAGAGGAAATGAATAATCACCATATTGAACTCTACATTTTTCTACATCAAATTACTCCATCAACGATCGACACAATTCTCTCTGAATTGGTCGATCCCTCACTCCTATCAAAGATACAAACCTCATTTCTTCCAGAACATGAACTTTATTCTTCTCATTCAAGTGTTCAACTATGGAGTTCACTCTTTTGATGCTACACCTTTTCGAGACTTCCTACATTTTTTAAAAATATCTAATGTTAGTGTTTTTATATATCGTTTATCACAGTATTTACAAGTTTAATGAATACCATCTTTTCATGTGCTTTCCTTCAAGCTTTATATTGTTGTCTATCCTTTTTGGACAGTGTCACATACGAGTCATTCTCAGCATCACTCATCGACTTCCATTTCTCCAACACCTCATGTTTTACCTGAAATTAAGCTTAAATGTTTCTTAACCAATAAATTAATGCTAAATAATACTCAATGTCAATTTCAGTTTACATATCGAACCGATATTGTAATTATCAGCTTCATCTTTTGGCATTCAGTCATACTGTCAAGATTTCGAATTTGTAATCAATTTAAAGTTCTTAAATACTTTAATCCAATTAGCATTTCAACAACAATTACACAAATGCATTGATACTTACTAGAAGTACATATATCCACCCAGTGGTTGCTTTCGATTTTCTTCATTGTTGATACTCTCAGGCTCCATTTTAATGTCATATTCGAGAACAACAATTGAAAGATCCATTGACTTCATTTTTCCTTCATATATTAGTTTATGAACATTCAAACATTAAATTAAATCAAATCAAATCAAATACAAGTTACATACAATTTATTCAATATTCAAGTATCGATAACTAATCATATAGTAATCGGGTTTCCTTCAAAGGAATGAGAATACTCTCTACTACAACTATCGGTACCTTTATACAACATACAATATCAATTTCTACCTATAACATTATATAAAAGTATCAATATTTATTTTCTACCAAGAATATCACTTTCTAACTATAATCAGTCTCAAATCTTTCTTTACTTCGAAAAACCAAAACCCATAAACCTAACTCATATTTCCGAATACTGTAAATACTAAAAAACTAGGGTTTCAACAACATACCTTCCGATTCGATTGCAACAACAAACAAACAACTACTCTTTCAAAAACGCCTTGCTTCTATTTCGCAGCAACTAATACGCTTCAATTTCAAAAACTACGACCGTCTTCTATCTATTTCTCTATTAGCAATGCCTTTGATATTTTAATCGGTTATGTTATTTATATTTAATCGATACCATTTCTCAAGTCTCAATACTTTTGTGTAAGGTATTGAGAATTTCAAGACGTTTTAATTTTTTTTATTTCTTTTCAATTCCTAAAGTATTGATACTATGGTACATATACTTATAAAAGTATCGATACCGTCAACATATCTGGTAGCGCTTTACCGGTTTTGTCAAATTGAAACCGGTTTTATCAAATTTCAACCTGTTATATTGTCATGTATTGATACATGTGTCTAAGGTATCGATACTTTATAGGCGCTATTATTGCAATTCCTAAAGTACAAATATTTTGGTACATATACTTATAAAATCATCGACACAAATTTCAACCATTCTAGTAGCTCTTTACTTGTTTTTTCAAATTGAAATCGGTTTTTTCAAATTTCAACATGTTATATTGTCATGTATCGATACATGTGTGTAAGGTATCGATACTTTCGAGACGTTTTCCTTTTTTTTCATTTCTTTTAAATTCCTACAGTACCGATACTTTGGTACATATACTTGTAAACGTACCGATACAAATTTCAACAATTCCTGTAGCTCTTTACCGATTTTGTTAAATTGAAACCGGTTTTGTCAAATTTCAACTAGTTTTGTAAATTTCTAATCGGTTTAGTCAAATCCGTTACCTGTTTTGTCAAATTTCAACCGGATTTGTCAAATTTCAACCTGTTATATTGTTATGTATTAATACAAGTGTGTAAGGTATCGATACTTTATAGGCGCTTTTATTGCAATTCTTTTAAATTACTAAAGTACAAATACTTTTATACATATTCTTATAAAGGTATTGATACATGTCTACTTTTTACCGGTTTTCATCACTTTCTTATATATTACTATATATCGATACTTATGTTCACGGTATCAATACCTACCGATAAGCAAAGTTTACCGGTTATCAAATTTTTTTAATATTTCTTCATGTTTTCCACCTACAACATTATTATTAGTCAACATTTCCAACAACGCTTAACCGACTTTGTTAAGTATCTTATTAAATTTCCAGTCATGCCGTTTCTTAATCGTAAATTAGTTTGTCTTTCCTGAGACAAATCTGGATCATCATGATCACTATTTTTTTTATCATCTTGATCAATATGATATGCAACATTGTCGGCAATAACGTGTTGTCATCGTTAACATTGACAAATGACCTGTGTAGGATAATAAATATAAGGATGTACATTTTTTAGATATTGAATATTATCCGATTCAAATTGTAAATTTAACTTTACAAATTAACTTGACAAATTTAACTTTACAAATTTGAATCACTAAAATTGCAATTTGTATTTGATCTAAAAAATCGAATATTAGAATCTAAACATAAAATTTAACTTGACAAATTTCATATTTAAATTTTATATTTTGTGACTTTAAACATCAACTCTATACAACATTATTAACACAATAAATAATTGAACATCTTAACTTTTATTGGGTTAGTGAGTTACTCATTGGGCTAAAGATTGTCTAAACTGCTCATTTTCTATTGAATTTTATGATATTCCGAAATTAGAATTTAAGCGGTCCATATATGATCCTATTATTCATTTTTTTTCAGATATTCAATCTAAATTATACAAAAATAAAAAAATAGATCAAATATTCAAAATTTTAAATTAAACCAATTGATCAGATTAGATTTTTTTTTGGCACTCCTAAATAAATATGGAGGTGTCCGATCAATAATGATACCACTGACACTGAATGAGAACTACGAAAATCCATAAAATGTAAGTGAAAGTGACGTAATTGGTTTGACTTAGTGATAGTGGAGGAGGAGCACCCGTCGATATGTATGAAATAAATATAATGTCCCATAGTACTGATGTATAATATTCTTGTGTCGAATTCGGCACAAATAGAACACACGCACATACGTATATCTCACAAATGATCCTTGCCGGGTTTGGTAACCCAAAAAATTCAACATCTAAATCATAAAATAATCACTAAAGCATAATTTTTAAAATAAAAAAAAAAATCATGAAATATCCAGGAGATGGTCATTAATAACGGGAAGCTGCTTATCATGAAACAGCCACGTCGTTTTCTTAATCATGCAGGTAGGGGTTCCTCCATAACTGCATTGGAAAGCAAAAATTCAATCATGCAGAGTGTACATGCATGTGTGATGTGTGTGCAAGCATAAGCATCATCTCTAGCATTTGTATAACGCTTGTGTCAGTATGTGAATGTGTGTGTATATGTGTGTGTGTATATATATATATATATATATATAGAGAGAGAGAGAGAGAGAGAGAGAGAGAGACCTCTTCCTTTTGTGGAAATATCCTCTGATGCAATTTCAGCATCGTCTCTAGCCGCATCTAGAGCGATTGGTTTCTTGGTCGGCACATTGGGAAGATCCAACTTATGTTCTCCAGATTCAGTTCTAGTAGGCACTTCTGGCATGTCTTGAACAGCCATCTAACCAACACACAATTTGCCATTCAAACAGAAAATGGTTGAGAGAACAATGTCATACGTCAATAAACAAAGCTTAATCCCAAATGACGTTTTAAACAAAAGACCTTTACATGCTCACACACCACCAGGGACTTCTAACTATTTCAAAGAATCCAATCGAAAGGAAGAAATACCCCAAGTTTAACATATGCAAATAATCTAATTCCAAACTTCATTATACCATTTTTCTCTTATTCCACATAACTCCCTCTATGCATTCACTTGACATACGTAAATTTTTTTAATTCCATTTCCATAATACCATAAGCAAAACCAATAGGAATTAGGAAACAAGATAAGGGAATTGCAGAGGGTAGAACAAATAGTAGATAGTAGAAGCCATAGATCATATTAGCTTTTACATGGCTGGAACTTCCAGCCAATTCGCAATATCTTTCAAGAAATTGGATCAGCCATAAATACCAACTTCTCAGAGGTTCAATTCGGAGCTCACAAACCATCCCCAAAAGGTTATCTTAGTTAAAGTAAATAAAATTAACAAGCCTGGCTGTTTTTTCAACCCCCAGAAATTTGGAAAGATAACAAAAGGAATTTAGGTTATCGCTTTTGTATGCTTCGGAAGACTGTAGAGAGGGAAATAAGATGTCGCTTGAGGATTTTCGAGAATGTAGAAACTAAAGACTTGCAAAACAGGTTGCAATCTGTGAAGAGCATAAAACAGTATATTGCTATTTGCAGAGCAGCTTTACCTAATCTAGGAGCTTTTGGATGCCAGCAGCACATAAAGTAGAAATGTGTACGGAAGTTAAAGAATTGAAAACTAGAGGCTAGTCAATGCAGCTTAGTGTGTCCACCTCATACTTGATGTATGGTAAAAAGTAAATGTGTGCGTAAATACAACATGTTTATGGTTCATACTACTGTAGAAGTATTGTTGCATAAATACCTGAGTTTCCAAGTCCTCAAATTCTGCCAAAATTTCCTCTTCGTCTTCTGCTGATAATTTCTCCCCCAAGATGGCATTAATTTCCTACAAAATTACAAATATGCATCCCATTTTAGATACAATAATGGAGAATAAGCTGAATGCCAATGTGAAGAGGCTCATGTTATGGTTTAATCGACAAATTAACAGGAAAAAAAGGAAAACGCAAGTGATTCTTCAAAAAACGAGAGAACATGTCTTATTCTCCATCAAGGATCATAGATTAAAATGCAGTGATTCAATTTCATATGCAACATCTTACGGCAAGCTAAACATCTTAAGTGGACAAGTACTGGCAAACAATAAAGGAGAGCAAGGGAGACAACAAACAAAAAGAGATCTACATGAAGGATCATAGTTCATTTTCGAAAGAGAACTCAAGCAAATGAGCAAGGGAAAAATGACTTAATAGGAACCAAAATTATTAAAAATTGAAATGAAGCTCACATCTTGGTAAGCTTTAGCTTCTTCTGTATCGTCCATTAACTTCTGCACATCATCTATGTTGATTTCACTCTGTATCGCCTTAATTGCATTGTTACCTGCTTTCAAGCTATCAAAGACTGCTTTTTGCTTGCTTGCTAGTTCAATATCTGCCAACTGGGAAAAGAATTAGTGTTTTAAATCTATCTATGAACTTGCCAACATTAAGGCTAGAACCCAAGAGTAAGGTAACAGAGCGGTCCCCATGTCAACACTAGCTCTGTAATAATTCATTGGAAAGGATTGACTTCATATTTGATAAATCCAATTACACTATTGCCTAATAAACATTATAGCATTAAATTAAACAATGAGAAAACTGAAATAACTTAAATTAGCAAAAAATCTTCGATAAGAAACTAAATTAAACACTATGAAAATTCAGTTTCAATTACTTGCTGCTCAACATTAATAAGCCACGTATCAACTTGCTTCAATAGATCTTCTTGAGCTTTCTTCTTTTTCAACGCTAACAAAGCTCTATCCTTTCTCTTTTCACGAATCAAGTCTTTAGCAGCTTGCTTTTCTGCTTCTATAACAGCCTCAAGCTAACAAAGAGAAAAAATGTATACAAAAATGAAGTTAAAAGTAAAATTACAGAAATTCACACAAAAAGAGGCAAAATGGAATTAACTTATAAATATAAATTTAAAAAAAAAAGGCAGAGAAACCTGTTGCTGGTATTGACCAAGCTTGCGTCTCTGAGTCTTTAATGAGAGAATTGCTCGATCAACTTCAGTGATCTTGGGTTTCTTTGCCAATAAATTACCCATCTATTACTGATTCAATTAAAAAATATTTATTCTCTCTATTCAGATTTTGTTCGGAAGAGAACCCAAATCTCCCCACCAGTCAGCCTTAGAGGCGAAGGTATTTCTGATTTAGAAACCAATAACACATCAATAAGAAGCATGTTAAGATTCCGATAAACCATCTAAAGAATAAATTAGACAACAGAAGATGCACAAATTACATCATGGCTAAAAACTTATCAGTATATGCTTAACATGGTTTACTAAAACAACAAATGAAAACAAAATAAGCTCCAAAACAATATTAAGTAACATCCAAATAAAAGGACATCACATATAGTTAAAATCTGCATATTTTACTTCATAAGGGTGCTATTAGAGGGCAAAGAACGTCCAGAGGTTGAAGTTTTACCAAAATTGAACCTTAAAAAACTAGAGATTGGTCTAAAACCAACATAGTTTTGAGTCACAAAACCTTTACCTGAAGGAACTGTATAGAGAGTATTTACAATAGTGAAATCCATAACACAAATTCTCACGATCTCTGTAATCATAAAGAAGAAACTCTAACTAAATAAGATCACAAATCAAGTAAAACAAGGTGGGTACACAATAAATTCACATTTAATGAACTAAAAACATAAAGAATATGAAGAACTGAACTTCAAAGTGCTCTTTTCTATTTGTTTTTCTTTCTTAAAAGTTACTAGAGAATCAGAAAAGAAATCCAAACCTTGTTGACGGGGAAAAAGAAACAAAGTAGAAACAGACGGAAATTGGATATGGAAATCTTACCTTATTTGATGAGAATAGATAGAGAATAAATGAGAAAACAAGAAGGAAAAATTGAAAGAGGAAAAAAAAAGAGTTGATCTATTGTAATTTCTGAACGCAAAACGGAGAACACAACCGACTCACCTGAGTTGTCGCCGCAAAGAGAGAGAGGCGCCGATGCCGGTGATGGAGGTGGCGGTGGTAACTCTAGGACGGAAGCTTTGAAGATTTTGGGTGACGATCTCTGGAAAGGAGAGGCTTGGAAAATGTCTTTACGAAATTTTTATTTTGATAATGTTCCTTCACCTTTTACTCTTCAACCCCTACAGGGCAAAATAATACCACGGCATTGCGATTGAATTTGTAATTTTAGAGAAATTATTTGAATATATAAATTCTAGTGACGGAATAAATAATTATTATTTTTAAAGGTTTTAAGTTTGAACCTTAATAATTATATCATATTTAAATATTTTTTTATAAAAATAGTATGAATCGAGATAATTCGTTAAAAAAATATTATAATATGCCTCGTTAAAAATTTATCTATTTTTTTAAAAATAAAAAAACATTGCAAAGCGAAACAATTCAACAAAACAAACGGCAACACAACTCACGAAACCACAGTAAAATAACATCAGAAAACAGAATCGGTGAGCAGTAAATGGGCAAAGGACACCGGGGTTCAGCAAAGACAGTAGGCGCAAAAGACTCCTGATTCGAGTACTTGGCAAGAGCATCGGCAACTTTATTTCCATTCCAAAGAACATGCTGGATTTTCACTACCCAGTTTCGCCTCCTGAGATCATCCAAGTGCGACTTTAACGAATGAGAAGCAGTGTGATCATTTCGAAGAACCCGAAGAGCATCTAAACTATCAACCTCAAGTTCAACCTGACGATATCCGAAATCCCATGCTAGACCAAGACCATATACTCACCCCAAAGCTCCACTTCAATAACTGAACAGACTCTGATAAACTTTGTGAAGCCGAGCTTCCAAGTACCATTACTATCACGAATCACACCACCACATGAAGTGTAACCATCCGTATCTCTGCGAGCTCCATCAGTGTTAAGCTTGAGCCAATTGTCACGCCCCCAGAACTTCGACGCCCAAAACCGTCGGAATATCAGAGTCAAGGTCTGACGAGTTGTGCGACCTTAGACGCTTTAGACGCTCCTCGGTCTTCTCGGCGACTAAGTAAGCCTTACCCAAGCTAAGTGAGCGTGCAAACTCACAAAGGTTGGAACCAAGCCCTCAAGGCTTCAGATTGCGGAAGCTTTAAACGCCAATATGGCTACTCTGAGCCACAAGGTCGGACTATCGTGTGGAAGTGTTAACACGAAGGTGGCTACTCCTGGCCACCAAGATAGGCAACAAGAACAAAGAACTAAAGAACTCAGAAAGAATAGAGCAAATTCCTCAGAGCTTTATTACTCTCTCACAAAGAGAAGAATGAAATTAGGTCCTTACAAATGAGGAGGAGAGCTCTCTATTTATAGTTGAGCTCCCTCTCAATCGATGGCTAAGATCGTTTTACATGAAGGGCTAGGATTGATTCCCACCTAACCCACCTCCCTTAATTTAAGGCAATCCCACCTAACATTTTCCTTCTAGAATCCTCCAAGGAACGGGCCAGATCTGATGGTTCTGGGCAAGCCAAATAGTCTGTATAATTCTCTTACAGATATCTGCTCACATGTCTCAGTTCGAATTCACGAGCCTTGACAGAATTACCCTCATCGCCCTCGTTCCTTCTCTCGGACGCCTCGGAATAGATCTTTCACGGACTTGTTAAACATTCTCCAAGAATGGGCTAAGTCTGGTGGTCATGGTAAGCTCGATCTTCTAATTTGAACCCCTTTGACGGACGCTTACACCAATGTCTCGGACCTAAGTTTCTAGCCCGTGACATTCTCCCCCACCGAACCTAGCGACGCCCTTGTCGCTGCACTCGATGATCCTGGGCAACACCAACTTGGATAATCTTCAGTGCCTTGGCTGGTTGCGGTCCTCCCATACGGACTGCTTGCTTTGGCTTCTTGCGCGTGTAACTTCCCGATCTTTTACGCCATACTTCACATCAACTTGGTTGCCTTTCGACGCCTCCACTTGCTCATATCCCCCCATAAGGACTCGGCCTCCCACAATGGCTGTGCTTGCTTCAGCTCTTGCCGCCAAGTGATGAAACGGGCTAACACGCCCACAAGTGCATCTCTGCCGTTGGAACTCCTTCCTACAAGTCTTGATTTGCCTCGGCTTGGACTTTCCTGTCCCTTGCGGAAAAGTCTTGGATCCCATCCAAACTTTGTTTCCTCCGCATTAAAAGTTAGGTCTTGCCCGACCTACACTCACTTAAAACAACAAATCAAACTCAAAAGAACACAAGAACTGTGTTGAGATGTACCTTCACCCTCTGATTTAGTTAGCATTTACTCAAAATTTTGCGTCAGCCCTTCTTACTCCATGAAGTCTGACACTCCCCTCATTAAACCCTTGTCATTGGAGTTCTTTGTGCCATCATGCAAAGGCACTTTCTCACGGCAAAGTCCGATGACCCTCTTTGGTTCCTCCCTTCTAACACGAAGGTTGGAGCTCGCTTCCCACCTTTGAAATGGGTGGTGTCTCCACGGTTGCCTTGTCCTTCAACGTCTTGGCTCCTTTCGACTCTTGTCTATGAGACTTTGAAGGATTGTTCCTCTCTTGAACATCCTCGGTAAGCCCTTGCTTTGACTCCCTGGACATGGACAACTCGATCTGCCCTTGGCTTCTACTCGCCTTGGTAGAAATGAACCTTATTGAGCAAATTCTCAGTGCCCCCTTGATCCGTGGTTCGTCCTCTTCTCGGGACAACTCGATCCTGGGCTCATTCATCACCTTGGATGACTCGGCTCCCCTCGGGTAGTCTTGCAATACTTCTGGCATATTAAGTTTGTGCCTCTTCGCTTGCTCGACTCTTACCCTCGGCTTAGCGTATGTGTCACTTGAACTAGTGCACACATCATCCCCAGATTCCCCATCTGGTTCATCATTGAGTGGACTTGCTCTGCCACTCGAGGAACAACCTTCCTCATCTTCTGACTTGCCTTCATCTCGGAATCTCTTGCCGTTACCCTCGGCTTTGGGTTTTGGTTTGGAAGTCTTGTTATTCTTGACTCCAAATTCCTTGATGGACTCCGCGGTTGTCAAGGCTTTAGACAGCTCCTTGACTTCCCTTCGCTCTAACACTCTCTTCGCCCACGGCTTTAGTCCGAACATGAAGGTGAAGAATCCGTCTTCTTCAGTCAAACTCGGGACTTTGAGCATGAGTCTTCTGAATCGACTCACGTACTCCTTAAGTGTCCCCTTATGTATGAGACGTCTCAACTTGGTCTACGCCTCTATCTTGGCATATTGTGAGCGAACCTGCTCACTTTGCACCCTCGGCTTGACGGCTTTATCATTCGCTATCGCACTGGGTCCTTTCTTGTGCTCGACTGCTTTGACACTTGCAGTCTCATCACATCTCGATCCTGGGTGAACTACTTGACAGCTTGTAGTCGCACCATGCCTACCCCTTTATTCAGTTACGTTAGAACATGTAGCCTCACCAAGTCTTGCTCCTGACTTGATTGCTTGAACCCTTGCAATCGCATCGAGCTTTCCTATGGGTTCGAATGCCTAGATATCAACAGCCTTGCCTCGTCTTAATTCTTGCTTGGTCGCATTGATCCCCTCAATCGGACCAAGTCTTTTTATTGACTTGGCAGCTTTACTTGTGCCTCCGCCAACTCTCGCTACTTCCCTTTCTCCCATCACCTTTAGGATGGTTGTAAGGCGACGCTTCTCGGGACATCCTCTAATCAAGTGAGGACCATCACAGAAGTATAACTTCAGTTTTTCCTTGCTCCCCTTCTTCTTTTCCCCGAACTTGGTCTTGTCATTCTTTCCCGATGGCTTTCCTTGGCCGCGAACAGTCGATGGCTCAACTTGGCCACTCGATGAGCTTTCTCTACCATCTCCCCACTACACATTTTCCCGGTCTCCCCTATTATTGCCACTATTCCTGGGCATGGGCTTGGATGACATATCGCTCCTTGGCTTGCCATCTACAAGCTCAGTCGACGTTCCGACTACAGTTATGGCTTCCGAAAATCTATGGGCATCACCTTCCTCTCCCCCGAGCATCGCCCCTGGTCTAAGTCCTTCCAAGAAGGTCTTGAGCTCACCCCATTCACTCATTGCTCCCTTGCATATGAGCAGCTCCCTCTTGAGCTCATCCACCTCGTTTCTCAAAGCTGTTACCTCGGCTTCTTGGGCATTTCTCCCTTGAACCGTCTCCAACTCGTCTAGAACTCGTTGCGTCTCGACCTTGAATCTACCCTTCATGGACTCTAATCGATCAAGGCGGGACTCCACAACACCCTGGGTCTGCTTGGCCTCATCCTCGGCTTGTTCAAGTCTACCGACCCTTTGTTCCCACGAAGTTGAGATATGCTCTAGATTAATGAGCCTCTCAGTGTGGTTAGCAATACATTCCATCCAGTAGGCCCATTTCTCGTACAGTGAGAGTTCTCCTTGTTCCTCATTAAGGCTTTCCTCGTCTTCACGAGAGAACATGTCGTCTCACTCGGACATGCCTTCGGCATCACCCTTGAGCCTCTCTACCTCAAGAACCGGCTCCCCTTGGTGTGCTTTCGTTGCCTCGAGCATTCCTTGCAAACTCATCACGGCATCCTCATGCTTGGACACCGATGACGCTCTTGAGCCCAACTGACTCTCTTCTTGTTTTCCACCATGGCACTCATTTCCTTTGCGAGCGGAAACTCCTCTTTTCTTGTGCCCCATCTCAATTATCAAATTAAATTGATTGAAAGTAAGTAAAATAAACTTACCCGGTTTCGCACCTTCCACCAAACTCAGTCGAAACGATCGTTGTCTGCTCACAATGACTCGCTCTGATACCACTTGTCACGCCCCCAGAACTTCGACGCCCCAAACCGTCAGAATATCAGAGTCAAGGTCTGACGGGTCGTGCGGCCTTAGACGCTTTAGACGCTCCTCAGTCTTCTCGGCGACTAAGTAAGCCTTACCTAAGCTAAGTGAGCGTGCAAACTCACAAAGGTTGGAACCAAGCCCTCAAGGCTTCAGATTGCGGAAGCTTTAAACGCCAATGTGGCTACTCCAAGCCACAAGGTCGGACTATCGTGTGAAAGTGTTAACACGAAGGTGGCTACTCCTGGCCACCAAGATAGGCAACAAGAACAAAGAACTAAAGAACTCAGAAAGAATAGAGCAA